GGGAACCCGGAGAAAACCCACCAAGAGTGCGAGAGGTAACACTCGAATATCCTCACGGACAAAAGCAAAGATGTAGCCTACACAGGGTGTTGGTGCAAGTGCTATTAGCTAGTACCTATGAAGACCAGTACTGCGCAACGATTAGGGAGTGTTGTGGCCAGAAATAAGCCCGACCACCTTTGTTTCCCCACTGCTGAATTGCAGCCCAGGACCAATTCAGACATCATCCGCCGCTCATGGTTATCCATGACTAAGAATCGAACTCGGGCCGCCGAGTTCATAGCGCGAATTGCTAACCGCTGCACCACCACTCCACCTCGATAAGGCGGTGCTAACTAATGTATTTTTTTTACTTCCTAACCTTCGCTGCTTTTGTTTCTTGGTTTTGTTTTCTTTGGGAGAGCGGAAATACAGCGCAGCAACACACAATGGCTGTTTGTGCGGAGGTTACTTCCGGGGGGTGCAGCCTGGGGGATCTCCCCGCTGCGTCCACGTGCGTGCGCTGCCCCGTGCGTGCGTGCGTCTGTCCAGCAGAAATCTGCAGAAGTTGCCGCCGGTTTAGAGGGGGCTGTGGGAACGGCTCTGGCGGAGCCAAGGGAACCTGTTCGGAGGGTCGCGGGATGATTCCGGCAGGTCGCCCTGGCGCAGCAACTTGCATGATGGCACAATGCCTAAGGCCCCCCCCCCCCCAAACTATAAGAGCTTTGTGGGTGACAGTATGTGGAGTGGTGGGAGCTAACTCCCTGCTACCCTCTGAAGTCCAATGTTCCTGCTTACCGATGTTTTTTAGATTTGCTTTTAGGATCGATGGGTTAATGCCAGGTGCTACACTTGGACAATGATGAAATGTGACTGTAATCTCAAGAAGCTGTACAGAAACAGTGTACACATTGTTAAGAGGCAGTCTGTGTGAGTCTATGAGTCTCTATGTGAGTCTATTGGTATCTATGTGAGTCTATGGGAGAGAAGCTGTAACTCATAGGTGAATGGAAAGGTCTTGATGAACCTGGACGTGTACAAGGTCAGGGAGGGGACAGTGCTGATGGCTGAGGGAATTAAGTTTCAGACGGTGGGAGCAGCAGAGGAGAAACTTAACCTCATCGAGACTGCTCGGTTTGTTAACGCAGTTGTGTATTTGTAGGCAACATACATGTTTCAGTTTGTTATTCATCCGCATATTCACACTTTCCTGCCTATATTTGTGTCAGAGCAGAGGGAAAAGCAGCAGTGGTAATGCAGTGCCTGCTGCTCAAGACACAGCAACAACAACAGCCGCCAATTCGCCAATAAGTGGCAGCGATGTCATCACGGTGCTTGTGTCAGGCCAGGGGCACTCTGAGGCCTCGTGAAGTGTCGAGGTCTTGCTGGCAGGAGGTTACAGGACAGACCCAGGTGCCATGGGTTGACTGACTGAAATGACTGGAAAATGCACCACCTGTGCCCCCTACTGTGCAAACTTTTGTTGTATTTTAGCTGCCCGGCGCTCGGCTCATTGTTGTGAGCGTTGCTCCTCTGCCCTCCGTTGTTGCTGGAGGGTAACTGCCTCCAACTGTTTCGTTCATGAGCCTCCTCAATAGAGGCCTATTGACACCGCTGGTACCAGTCTTTGGCAAGTCCACTCAGCTCCACATCCTCCTGTACCGCATCAGTTCATCTCTTCCTCAGCCCGTGCCGTGCCCATTTAGCCCCCTCTATCCAGCCAAACAGAAGCTGCTTGGGCGTGCGGTGGCTGGGCCTGCGGGCTCCATGACCCAGCCAAGACATGGACGCGCACGCACGCACACGCGACTGCGCCAGCGCACGCATTCGGCGCCGGCGCCTAATGGCGTTCTCTCTTGGCTCTCAAACGAGCGGCAAAATTAGAGCCTGGGTCGCCTCAGGGGTCAGAGATGTGGAGCCAACACCGCTGGGGACTTTCGAGTTTCAGCCGCACAGCCACAGCCATTCCACCGTGGGTCTCAAGTATAGCACATTGACGGTCTCGGCTCTTAACCCCATAACAAATGACTTGCATAGAGACCCATAAACTAATACAGAGAGACATATCCTCACATTGAGACTCAGACTTGCATAGGGAGCCACAGTCTTGCATAGAAAACCATGGACTCACATAGACCGAGTTGTGATTAACGAGGTTCTCGAGTGTCAAGAGTTGGCAGTCTCAGCCCGGTCACTGATGACTTACATCGCAGTGTAACGTCGCGTAGAAAACCACACCACAGCTAATTCTCTAGCCAGTTCAATTACCTTTATCTACACTCCTATCAGGTTGTTTTCACCCGAATATCAATTTAGTTTTTTTTTCTGTTTGTGCACTGTTCTAATAAACCCATTGGCCCGGTTAAATTCCCAGTCACGGCTATCATCAGTGGCTCGGTGTCCCTCGACCCAGTATTCTTCCCCCATGAGACGCCCGGCCAAGGAACAAACCCATCCGAGAGGACGTCCACGGAGTAGACGAAGCGATGATGACATAGATTCGTGTGCAAGTGCTGGGTGGATTGTTGCATCGCTTGATCGTGGGAGGTGGTAGCAGATTGGGAAGGCCTTCATACAGCAGCGGCTGGTTGATCACGGCTGCTAGTGTTGAGCCGCACAGCTACTTTCAAAGAAAGTCTGTAGCACCGCGCGTCTGCGGAACTCGTTCTGAATGCTAAGCCGCTCGCTTTCCCTGTCTCCGCCACCGCTGTTGTTGTTTCTGCGCACGATGAGCCCAGACTGGTCGGGTTTGAAGGGATCTCCAGCGGTGCCGCCGCACGGCGCGACCTTGCCTGTCTCGCCCGCTCGGGGCACGGGGACGGCTCCAGCCTAAAAATAAATTGGTAAAATTACAATGAGCGAAGGGCCACGATGGTTGGCGCGCTTGTTAAAGTTTCTGCCGCAAAGGCCCCAAGCCACTCACACTCTCTGCCCCCATCTGCCTCCCCACCTCCTCCTCCTCGCTGCTCTGCACACAAAACGCGAAACACATTTTCATCGTAAAACAGCGGCGGTGAGAGCTGGGCGGTGAGAGCTGTGCTCATACCTTGGATGCGAGCACCTCTCACACTATGTTTTAATCTGAGCGCTGAGCTGGCACAGAAATGTAACCAATTAAAGTAATGCTCGGCTTGGTACGCGACCAGAGTCTGATGCATTTAATCCTCCTACTGGCTTTTAAGAAAGTAACACGTTTTAATTTTACATGGAGTGATTTGATTTTTTTGTGCTTGAAAATTTATGTCTGCGTGGTTGGAATAAAAAAAGAAAAGCAAGAAGCTGCATGAATTCGACAGATTCACCAACCCACTCAGCCTCGCTCCCTGTGCGGTCACGTCACCCACTCAGCCTCGCTCCCTGTGAGGTCACGTGACCCACTCAGCCTCGCTCTCTGTGCGGTCACGTGACCCACTCAGTCTCGCTCCCTGTGCGGTCACGTCACCCACTCAGCCTCGCTCCCTGTGCGGTCACGTGACCCACTCAGCCTCGCTCCCTGTGCGGTCACGTGACCCACTCAGCCTCGCTCCCTGTGCGGTCACGTCACCTACTCAGCCTCGCTCCCTGTGCGGTCACGTCACCTACTCAGCCTCGCTCCCTGTGCGGTCACGTGACCCACTCAGCCTCGCTCCCTGTGCGGTCACGTCAACCACTCAGCCTCGCTCCCTGTGCGGTCACGTGACCCACTCAGCCTCGCTCCCTGTGCGGTCACGTCACCTACTCAGCCTCGCTCCCTGTGCGGTCACGTCACCTACTCAGCCTCGCTCCCTGTGCGGTCACGAGACCCACTCAGCCTCGCTCCCTGTGCGGTCACGTCACCTACTCAGCCTCGCTCCCTGTGCGGTCACGTGACCCACTCAGCCTCGCTCCCTGTGCGGTCACGTCACCTACTCAGCCGCGCTCCCTGTGCGGTCAAAGCACCTACTAAGCCTCTCTGGAGTCGAACCCAGGCCCCTTGTTACTCTGATGCACGAGTGTGACCACTGCTGCCTTGCCGCCTGGTTACAGGCGGCGACAGCACAGCCACCGTCGCGATCCTGAGATTTTTCAAACGCGTTCATCAATCGCTGCTGACGACTGCGCTGCTCTCAGTGTCGCCGTGCGTCAGGGATGGGGTATAAATAAATAAATATTTCGTAGCTATTTGTCACTTACCCAGAAAAGCCTCCTGAGTCTCGAGCCTCCTTATATATAGAAGGGTCCAGATTTTGGATGGTCGTCTATTTATAGGCCAGTCTCTCTCAGCCTCCCATCCCTCCAGGATTGCTGAATAAGTTATGCATTATTGGAATTGGTTGTTACATGAATACTCGCCCCCACCATAGGAATGTGGAATTTTTACAACTGGCTCCAGGATTTAAATAGGGGGGTAGAACCACGTTCATTTCAGCAGGACATTGCTTTTAATTGCTTTGTGTGTTAACGTGTTGTGGCAATTACAATAACTCAGTTTACTACAATTATATTCAGATGTTAGTACGTCACCATGGCCAAAGCTGGTGATGCCACCACACCTCCTCTACCACCACACCTCCTCCACCAGACCGCCACCACTTCTCCTCCACCACACCTCCTCCACCAGACCGCCACCACTCCTCCTCCACCACACCTCCTCTACCACCACACCAACTCCTCACTACCAACGCTTTCAACCAATGCCGTAGCCATGGAGTCAACATTGGGGGGGACCAAATCTTCCAGGGTGTCTGGGGGTCCCAACCCAGAAAATATCTAAATTTGAAAATAATTTCCTGCCTAAAATATTAAAAAATTCAGTAACACATGGGATGGACTTTTATTTTTTTCTAATAGTGTATTGTATTACATTGCTGTTTGAACTTTTTTTTACCATTTCTTGTTCCATTGTATGTAATGGCAGAGATTAGGGATTAATAAAGTAAAACCATAACCACAATCATATGAACAGAAATCTATGCATTGATTTATATGAAGACAAGTCCAGAAATTGTGGCCAAGGTTTAGCAAATTGTTGTTTGTATTTACATAGCATAGCAATTATTTTTATAGCAATATATTGGGGGGACATTTTGAGCATATTTGAATGTTGGGAGGGATGTGTCCCCCCCAATATATATTATAATTACGGCCTTGCTTTCAACCCTCCACCAGTTCCCGCAGCTACCACACAGAAGAGATGTGACCTCCAATACCTGCTGTAACCGTCTGGCACCATCTGCTCTTAGGCCTTCCCTTCCCTTTGGTCGCCAAACTCGTGGAGACCGCTCCATTGCCCCTCTCGGTATATCATTACAATATTATTGCAATACGTGATTTATACGTTAAACATTCACTTCGATGAGGTGTTCAAGGAGGGTTTTGCATTAAGATGTTTGGCAATTTCAATTTTTAGAACGTCTTACATCATCACGAGCCACGGTCAATCCACTGATGGATGAAAGTCTCTCCAAGCCACCGCCACATCACATGAGAGGTGGTAGGGCCAGTCTGATTGGCTAGTTGGTTTAGGTTGGGAGTAGAATCATTGTTGTGGTGTGATTGGCTAGTTTTGTTGCCATTTATTGCTAATTTGTATGAAAATAAAACTCTCCTCGCTGCAGAAGAGTATGTGGGGGGAAATCGCAGGACGATTCCAGGAAAACTTCACCAACGCCCATGCCGTCTTGAGTACCATAGATGCACAAAGGCACAGTCTGGCCGCCCAGAATAATTGCAATTACACGACTGTGATCATAACAGAGTCTCCGATGGTTTTGTAACTCAGCTGCTTATCGTGACAGACTTGGTTCACTACTGGGGAAGTGAACTGAACTCCATGGCTCAGATGGGTCGGCTCAAAGCCACACGCTTAACTTGAGCCGCCCCGTGCATGGTCCCAGTCACGCTCGGGATTTCCATGAGCAGAGTCGAAACACGAAAATACCCGGTTCGATTCTCGACTTGGGTACCTTTCTGTGTGTAGTTTGTATATTCTCTCCTTGTACTGCATGGGTTTCCTCTAGATTCTCCGATTTCCTTCCATAGGTAAAACATACCATGTCAATCTCGGTTGAAGTTTGCAAAAAAATAAAAAAAATACCCAAATAGCAATCATCGCCCCCTACTGGCAGACGAATGCCCATTGCCGAGCCAGCTTGGGCTGCACAGCAGCAAGCTGCCGATGCTGGGACCTGCAGCTCTCAAGACGGTTTGCCGTCACGGGATAGAAAGAGCGCAGTACGCATGCAAATTAATTCTGTCGTGGTTAGGGCGCTGACTCGCAATCAGAAGGTCACGAGGTCAAATATCAGTCGGATGTAAATTCAATCCCAGCATCATCGTCAGCCATGGTCAATCCACTGCTGAATGAAGGCCTCCCTCCCTAAGCTGCCCCCACCCCCTTTCACGATCCTGCACGTGAACACATTTCATTCCGCTCCATCTCGATGGATGTCATCTTGAACTTGGCTGAGCACAGGTCCCAAAACGTCAAGCGGCCAGCTACAAACTGCACTCTCGAAGTTGTAATCGATGATAATTAACGCGTTTCTTGAATTAAGCAAAGCTATTATGAGACCTTGGAAACAGAGTCGACGGAAGGGGATTTTGATGTGGAGCAATGCTAGGGAAGAAGCAGAAAGATAAGTAGTGTGAACTGCAGTGTGGTAAGTGGGTGAGTGGCAGAGTGAATGAGAGTTTTGTTGTGACCTGCAGTGTAGTGAGTGAGTGGGTGAGTTCGTGACCTGGATGAGTGAACCAAGTGTGCATGAGACAAGAAAGACTGGCTCCGTTAATGTTACATGCTGATGATGTTACTCCAGTATTAGGCCGCATGTCATCATGAGAAGGACACTTTGTTAACCGATCTGTGTTATCTCCTCATATCTCGTAGTCAGTGTGTTGGGTTTTCTCTTGGGTCTCGTCCGGAGACCAGAATCGCCTCCTTTGCAAGAGTGATCTCGCACGAAGTGTGTTGGGTTTTCTCTGGATCGCCTCCTTTGCAAGCGTGATCTCGCACGATTGACCCACTTAGGGTTGACCTCACGCCTGACCCCGCGAGGTACGAGGAGTTGCGCTTGTACAGCGCTCAGTCGCACGTTTACCAATCTTAAAAAACAAAATCCCACGTCATCCCCGATGGAGTTTCATTTATTTTCTTTTGAGATTGGTGTACAAAAAAAGTGAGATTTGTTTTGTCATTCAATATCTCTAAGTACTTCTGTGGGCACGGTCATGGCGTGGAATCACAATTAGGTGATTGAGCCGTGACTAGAGGCGGCGTCGCCGAGAGGGAGAGCGATGGAACGAGGGAGGGCGGACCGCGGGTAACCGCGGGTGAGCGTGGGTGAGCGTGGGCTGACCATGGGTGAGTGTTGGGTTACCGTGGGTGAGAGTGGGTTAGTGTGAGATGATCGTGGGTGAGCTTAGGGTGAGCATGGGTGAGAGTGGGTTACCCTGGAGTGAGCCTGAGTGTGGTAACCGCTGGTTCTGTTTCAGTGAGGGTGGGGTGAGCTCAATAAGGCCCCAATACCATCACTATCATGTAAATGAAAAACGAATCAAAAGTGAAAACGGATTGAGAAAAGCAACTGTCTCGGGTTGGTGTCTGCATGGCTAGTGTGCCTATTGGTAGGGCTAGTGTCGGCATGGCTAGTGTGGCTATGGGTAGGACTAGTGTATGTATGGCTGGTGTGGCTAGATGCAGGGCTATTGTCTATAAGGCTGGTGTAGCTAGATGCAGGGCTATTGTCTACAAGGCTGGTGTAGCTAGATGCAGGGCTATTATTTATAAGGCTGGTGTAGCTAGATACAGGGCTAGTGTCTACAAGGCTGGTGTAGCTAGATGCAGGGCTATTGTCTACAAGGCTGGTGTAGCTATATGCAGGGCTATTGTCTACAAGGCTGGTGTAGCTAGATGCAGGGCTATTGTCTACAAGGCTGGTGTAGCTATATGCAGGGCTATTATTTATAAGGCTGGTGTAGCTAGATACAGGGCTAGTGTCTACAAGGCTGGTGTAGCTAGATGCAGGACTATTGTCTACAAGGCTGGTGTGGCTAGATGCAGGGCTATTGTCTACAAGGCTGTTGTGGCCAAATGCAGGGCTATTGTCTACAAGGCTGGTGTAGCTAGATGCAGGGCTATTGTCTACAAGGCTGGTGTGGCTATAGGTAGGGATAGTGTCTACAAAGCTAGTGTGGCTATAGGTAGGGCTATTGTCTACAAGGCTGGTGTGGCTATAGGTAGAGATCGTGTCTACAAGGCTAGTGTGGCTATAGGTAGGGGTAGTGTCTACAATGCTGATGTGGCTATAGGTAGGGCTATTGTCTACAAGGCTGGTGTAGCTAGATGCATGGCTATTGTCTACAAGGCTGTTGTGGCCAGATGTAGGGCTATTGTCTACAAGGCTGGTGTAGCTAGATACAGGGCTATTGTCTACAAGGCTGGTGTAGCTATATGCAGGGCTATTGTCTACAAGGCTGGTGCAGCTAGATGCAGGGCTATTGTCTACAAGCCTGGTGTGGCCAAATGCAGGGCTATTGTCTACAAGGCTGGTGTGGCTAGATGCAGGGCTATTGTCTACAAGGCTGGTGTGGCTAGATGCAGGGCTATTGTCTACAAGGCTGGTGTGGCTAGATGCAGGGCTATTGTCTACAAGGCTGGTGTAGCTAGATGCAGGGCTATTGTCTACATGGCTGGTGTAGCTAGATGCAGGGCTATTGTCTACAAGGCTAGTGTGGCTATAGGTAGGGATAGTGTCTACAAAGCTAGTGTGGCTATAGGTAGGGCTATTGTCTACAAGGCTGGTGTGGCTATAGGTAGGGATCGTGTCTACAAGGCTAGTGTGGCTATAGGTAGGGATAGTGTCTACAAGGCTAGTGTGGCTATAGGTAGGGCTATTGTCTACAAGGCTAGTGTGGCTATAGGTAGGGATAGTGTTAGTATGGTTAGTGTGGCTATAGGTAGGGATAGTGTCTACAAAGCTAGTGTGGCTATAGGTAGGGCAATTGTCTACAAGGCTGGTGTGGCTGTAGGTAGGGATCGTGTCTACAAGGCTAGTGTGGCTATAGGTAGGGCTATTGTCTACAAGGCTGGTGTGGCTATAGGTAGGGATAGTGTTATTATGGCTAGTGTGGCTATAGGTAGAGATAGTGTTATTATGGCTAGTGTGGCTATAGGTATAGATAGTGTTATTATGGCTAGTGTGGCTATAGGTAGGGATAGTGTTATTATGGCTAGTGTGGCTATAGGTAGAGATAGTGTTATTATGGCTAGTGTGGCTATAGGTAGGGATAGTGTTATTATGGCGAGTGTGGCTATAGGTAGGGATCGTGTCTACAAGGCTAGTGTGGCTATAGGTAGGGCTATTGTCTACAAGGCTGGTGTGGCTATAGGTAGGGATAGTGTTATTATGGCTAGTGTGGCTATAGGTAGAGATAGTGTTATTATGGCTAGTGTGGCTATAGGTATAGATAGTGTTATTATGGCTAGTGTGGCTATAGGTAGGGATAGTGTTATTATGGCTAGTGTGGCTATAGGTAGAGATAGTGTTATTATGGCTAGTGTGGCTATAGGTAGGGATAGTGTTATTATGGCTAGTGTGGCTATAGGTAGAGATAGTGTTATTATGGCGAGTGTGGCTATAGGTAGGGATCGTGTCTACAAGGCTAGTGTGGTTATAGGTAGGGATAGTGTTATTATGGCGAGTGTCATAGTGGTATTATGGCTAGTGTCATAGTGTTATTATGGCGAGTGTTATAGTGTTATTATGGCTAGTGTGGCTATAGGTAGAGATAGTGTTATTATGGCTAGTGTGGCTATAGGTAGGGATAGTGTTATTATGGCTAGTGTGGCTATAGGTAGGGATAGTGTCTACAAGGCTGGTGTGGCTGTAGGTAGGGATCGTGTCTACAAGGCTAGTGTGGCTATAGGTAGGGCTATTGTCTACAAGGCTGGTGTGGCTATAGGTAGGGATAGTGTTATTATGGCTAGTGTGGCTATAGGTAGAGATAGTGTTATTATGGCTAGTGTGGCTATAGGTAGGGATAGTGTTATTATGGCGAGTGTTATAGTGTTATTATGGCGAGTGTTATAGTGTTATTATGGCGAGTGTTATAGTGGTATTATGGCGAGTGTTATAGTGGTATTATGGCGAGTGTTATAGTGTTATTATGGCGAGTGTTATAGTGTTATTATGGCGAGTGTTATAGTGGTATTATGGCGAGTGTTATAGTGTTATTATGGCGAGTGTTATAGTGGTATTATCGCGAGTATTATAGTGGTATTATGGCGAGTGTTATAGTGTTATTATGGCGAGTGTTAGTGTTATTATGGCGAGTGTTATAGTGGTATTATGGCGAGTGTTAGTGTTATTATGGCGAGTGTTATAGTGTTATTATGGCGAGTGTTATAGTGTTATTATGGCGAGTGTTATAGTGTTATTATGGCGAGTGTTATAGTGTTATTATGGCGAGTGTTATAGTGTTATTATGGCGAGTGTTATAGTGTTATTATGGCGAGTGTTATAGTGTTATTATGGCGAGTGTTATAGTGTTATTATGGCGAGTGTTATAGTGTTATTATGGCGAGTGTTATAGTGTTATTATGGCGAGTGTTATAGTGTTATTATGGCGAGTGTTATAGTGTTATTATGGCGAGTGTTATAGTGTTATGGCGAGTGTTATAGTGGTATTATGGCTATGGGTGGGGCTCTGGCTTTATAGGCGTGTGTGGCTGGGGCCAGTGAGGGTGATGGAGGAGGGTCGATGGTGGTGGTGGTGAGGGAAGTGACGGAGCAGGTGGATGTAGTGTGTCTGAAGAACTCGTCGTTTGTCGATTATTAAATCCACTTTGCGTTTCATTATTTCAATGCGGCCACACGCGTGCGTGCTGCATGCTGAATGCTGCGTGTGTATAGAGTGTTGGCCCTACATCTCGTGGGGAGCGGTAGTGTATAAGTCAGCACGCCGCACTACGAACCCGGCCACCTGAGTTCAATCCACGGTCACTAACACCGGTAACGATTATTTGAATCGGTCCTGGGCATTCCTTAGGTCGACTCGGCCTCAAATTGGTACCTGGTGCGATGTTTAAACATCGCCTCTGGGGGAACAAAGGCGGTCGAGCCTGGTGCTAGCCACCCACCCCCTCGCGTGCCGTGCCGGCCTTCATAGATACTCGCGAACAGCACTTGCCCCACAGTCTGTGAAGACTATATGGGGGGTCTTTGTTTGTACAGTGCGCGCCGCCTCGTTATTCAGTCCGAACCCAGGTTTATTTTTGTTGTTGTTTTTTACCCAAGCACCCCTGGGCTCCTCGCTCAGCCAGCCTTCGGCTAATTGGTAGTCTCGTCACCGTGGCAACGACAGCGAGCCTCTCACACCTCCCGCGGTCCATCCCTCCCCTCCTCCAAATCTCGCCTGTCCCCTCCTCTTTCCCCTCGCCCCTCCACAACCCCTCCCTCCTCCTCTCCTCCTCCTCCTCTCCCAACCCCTCTTCGCCCCTCCACAACCCCTCCCTCCTCCTCTCCTCCTCCTCCTCTCCCAACCCCTCTTCGCCCCTCCACAACCCCTCCCTTCTCTTCTTCCCCTCCTCCTCTCCCCCTCCTCCTCTCCCAACCCCTCTTCGCCCCTCCACAACCCCTCCCTTCTCTCCTTCCCCTCCCCCCTCCTCCTCTACCAACCCCTCTTCGCCCTCCGCCCCTCCCTTCCCCCCTCTACCTCTTCCTCCCCCCCTCTCCCCCACGCACACGCGCGTCACACCCTCTCTGCTCCGCCACATGTGAGCAGGAGATTTTCTAGAGGAACGGCTCCAACAAGCACTGTATTGTGCAGATCATCTTGCCAACACAACTCTAGCAACAAGCATAGCCGCCGTGCCACACGAGTTTTGGCCTCGTCATCACTGTGCTGATTGTGCCAGGCTAGGTACGCGTTGAGGTCATCACGTGAACTGTGGAAGGCAGGCAGGAGGTCACGCACAGACCCAGGTGTTACAGATTGGCTGTGATGACTGACATGCACCAATTGTGCTCCCCACTGTGCTGACTCACTCTACCGTTCACTCATCCACTCACCTGTTCTCTCAGAAGCACCAGCACGCGCTCACCACTATGCTGACTACCGCTCACCCATTCACTCATCCATTCATCTGCTCTCTCAGAGGCACCACCGATATTGACACTGCTGGCACCAACCATCTGCAAGTCTTTCTGTACCGCCCACCTCTTCTCTCGCCTATGCTGCACGCTCTGCCCTGCCAAATGAGCGGCTTGGGCATGCAGCCTCGCCTGCTGCAGGAGCTCACTGATTTAGTTGTATCCAGATCTTTCAAACATCTGTGAGCTCCTCACACAATTCAGTCTGGTTCAACAACACACTCATCCCCGCACACACCAAATCGCTCGCTTGCTCACTCACCCATTCACACTGCAGGTCATATCACTTCTCTTTCTGCTCATTGCCTCACATTGCTCCACTTTGGAGCTGCGGAAATACCTACCATCGTTTATATTCCCCAAGCGCGTATTATAATCTTACTCAATACAAGGAAAGAGTTAACTCTTGACCTATTGCCACTTTGAAGGTGCCGGTTGCTACTGGATGGGTTAACAGCGTGGGCCTTTGGACCTGTTCTAGGGTTACCACCAGTCCAGGAATTGGCATTTGTGCCCGGACAGCAGAAATTGATTTGTACCGAGATCTGGAACCGGCCTTGCTGCGTTGAACTTCATTCATAAAAAAAACTGCACATTATTCACAATAGACCGAGGCTGACGGAGAAACGTGTCCGGGTTTGACCTCTGGAAAAGCAGCATGCCTATCTTGTGCTCAGCAAACTGTGTTAAAAAATAAAATGAAAAGGCGTTCTAACGAACTACTCCACAGAGAAGGCAATGCTGTCGTTCCCGTGGTCCCATTAAGCGTGAAAAATACGGCACATCAACAGCCTCGTGAGCCCCAGCCGCAAGCCTCCGAGCGGCATTGTTACACGAGTAATGGGTTAATTAGGCCGCTTTGGTGTCGGCCAACCAACCACCTGTGGTCAAACGCAATCGGTGTGAGCGACGAGCGGCCGTGGCGGTGAAATAGCGGCCGTGATGTGAAGCGATGATGCCGTCAGGAGGCGAAGGGGGAAGGAGTTGTCTCCGTGATTTCCCATCGGACGATTGCTCGCTCGCACGCCCACCGCATTTTCCCCGACATCAACCGAATCTCAATGCCCTGCCTCTACATTAACGGTCGCGGCCGGCGCACGTCACCGCCGCCAGCAGTAGGTCACGGCACGTACATTTCTTTCACCGAGGGCTTTCAGCAACAACAAAATCTCACCGGGGTTTAATAACGCCACAGGGCTAAACACCGGCGTGACCTTCGTGACTTTTTTTGTCAGAGGAGGCCGGGTTGCTCAGAGGTTACAGATTATGAGCCTGCACTGCCAAAATCCTGGGTTCCAATCCGGATTCCGTCTGCCCAACCACAGCTGTTACACCGGGGACTCAAGTGCAGTGAGTTGACGGTCTCAGCCCGATCATGAATGACTGCAACAAAGATCATTCTATGCGGGATGTTACTAAATACGTGGCTCATCTCCACCTCTGCAAATGACCATTAATTGATTAATTTGATTGGGATGCGAGCCACGCTTTTTGAAGGGCATATGAAAGGTGCCACAGCAGTGTGGATGAGAGGCAATTTAAGTGAATTCAGAATTAGTTCTGTCACACAGGGTGGTTCACTGCTCACTGGGACAGTTCCTATTGAAACAATAAGGCAGGTTTCCACCTCTGTCCACCCAGCAGTATCAATACATGGCAGGCTGAGGAGTGGGGTGGGGTGAAATTTGGGGAGTCCTACCTCTTTTAATATTTCTGGGTCAGCATGGAAGAATAGGCCAAATACCCTCTTGAGATCTGCTGGGTGGAGGCCGTTTCACCAGCAGAAGAGTGAGCCAGCAAGAAATTGCAGGCCGCCACCACGACCAGAGTCGTCCCTCAGGTACGGCGAATTGGAGGGACAGCCCTGTGCCCCACACTTTGGGGGGTCCCGCTCTTCGACGTCACGGTGTCAGATGTAATTGTTCCGGTTTAATTTCAAGTTGTCAGGCGACCCACGCGGTGTGATTTGCCCTGGGCTCCACACCCCCCTATGGACAGTCCTGACCACCACCTAGGCATGATTTCTAATTACAGCTGTGATTTATCCACTGCTGGATCAAGGCCGTCCCTCATGGCACAACGATTCCACATTTCACTACCCTCGTGAAATTAAAATCCTCAAACACCTTGATTCGTGAAGAAGTCGTCATGCTCAGGACGTCGACGCCTTCACACCTCATCAACAATCCACCTCACTCCTGCGCACGAGGAACTTTCCATCGCTCCATCTCCATGGTGCCTCGTCCTCTCGGGCGCTTTCCGCCCTTCCGCTTCCGCTCCAGAGTTTATGTTGACCCCGGCCATAGCCCCTTCTAGCGACGGTGCTGCCCAAGTCCACTCTTTCGTGCCATATGTTACCGTTAAAGATGTTGTGTGATGATTGTTATTAATATTCGGCCAAGAACATTTTATTTCGTTATTTTTCTTTTGAAAGCAATTTTGAAATTCGCAATGTAGATTTGTGTTCAGACAAGTCACGAAAAACGCTGATAACGTCCTCACGAATCTCGTGAACATCTCCTGCGACCCGCCGCGTTCAGCCGGCTTTTAACTTGCACAACAAAGACAAAGATCCCCCATATAGCCTTAACAGACTGTAGGGGCAAGTGCTGTTAGCGAGCACCTATGAAGGCCGGAACGGTACACGAGGGGGTGGGTGGCCAGCACCACGCCCGACCGCCTTTGTCTCCCTAGTGGCAATGTTTACACACCGCACCAGGTACTCATTTGAGGCTGAGTCGACCTAGGGGAGGCCCGGGACCGGTTCAGATAATCGTCACTGGTGTTGGCCGTGAGCGGGAATCGAACCCGGGTCGCCAGGTTCATAGCGCAGCGCGCTAACCGCTACACTACCGCTGCACACACACGTGTACACACACACACACACGTGTACACGTGTGTGTGTGTGTGTACTTGTATGGGGAACGATGGTTTAACGGTTAGCGCGCTGCACTACAAACCTGGCGACTCGAGTTCAATTTCCGTTCACAGTGACAATTTTCTGAACCGGTACTGGACCTCCCCTAGGTCGACTATGTACTTGTGTCTGTACTTATGTGTGGTGTGATGTTGTGCTTACGTGTGTATATGTGTGTTTACCTGTCTTTGTAGGTTCATCAGAACCATGTGTTATCTGTCATAAATTTGAACGTGATACCAGTACCAGATCTAAGTACGAGTACAAGTCCTTCACCCGAATATAGCTTTCAGTTCCCAGACTGTCTGGTACAACCCTGCTGGGTGGCAACCCTACCATCATGTGGGCTCGCTATTGGCATTCATATGAGCGGTCAATACCCAGGACTATAAGTGGCATAGACGCACGTGCGCTGTTAATTCTGTAATTAAGCGAGCCTGATCGGATTCGCTATGAGATGGGTCACCTCGCTGTATAGCCGCGGTGATGACATCAGAGTTGCTTGCGAGTCTGCCAAGTCATTGGGTGGCAGGTGGCGGTGCAGTGCTAACACTTGTGCCTCATAGCAAGGAGGGCCTAGGTTCAATTACCGACTTGTGCGCCTATCTGTGGAGTATGTATGTCCTCTGCATGTTCTGCATGGGTTTCCTCCGGGTTCTCCCGATTTCATCCCACATGTAGAACACACTCATTAATTCATGGCATTGGCCAAACATCCTAATATAGGACTACAGAGCTTGAACACTTGTTGGTGCTGGTTCTGGCTATCTCCCTACCAATTTGTGGCTTCTCACACCACTGAATAATTCTCACCCTGAGAGTGAAAGAACACTGCGCGTGTTACATATTTGTCATTATTATTGTTACAAGGGAGAAGGAGTCACGTGTGGGTGCGGGAAAGAGGGAGGCTTGTGTGGGGTTTTCTAGGTTTTGT